GCCCTCCACAAATAACCTGTACCTGTTTTTGGTTGCAACGTTCCAGCTGGCAGAAAAGCAGGGCCATCACCACGTATTTGATCAGTTTGGCCCCCTTGGGGAAGGCAAGACCCCGTTCGCCATCTACCAAGGCACCCTGCACCTCCGCGGTCACCTGCCGTGCCACTGCTTTTCCTTCATGTCTTGGCATGCCTACCATGGAGTATGATCCACGAAGCCCAGCTACCTCGGGGGCAACAGTCCCCTGAAATTCTGAAAGAACCTCTTTTGGGAATTTCTCCAAAAGGTCATAGTTGTCCAAATATACTCTCCACGTTGAATTGGATTCAGGCAAGGGGGCATCTTTCCTAATCTCACGGGAAGCCAGATCACGTCCAGGCTGTGGTAGGGAGCGCTTTACGAGCACTCTGTGCACGTGTTGAGCCACTCCGACTGAATTTATAAATCCCATCGGCAGTACGACCGCAGTGAGGTAACACGGTTCATTGCAGCCGTCCAGCTGGAGGTCCATGGGAACCTCCCGGTTGAAAGCCAAAAATGGTTTCCAGATTGGCGGAAGAGCTAATGTATAAAAGAAGCACCTCACATCCTCTGAAGAGATGAGCAATCCTTCCGATGGCTCCAACCCAAATGGGTTCATACCTAGCCAGTGGGGTAACCCGGCGATGTCAGCAGCCAGGTTCAGGCAGATCTCATTAAGGGGCACCAAATTCATTATAAGGCGATAGGTAGGAACGCCATCACACTCTTCGCCCTTCTCAACGCCGAACAAACCATTCAGCAGCAATTCCCCGTGCACCCTGAAAATCTCAGACTCAGGGATCACCTGACAAACTCCACGGCTCACCAGATTACGGGCCACTTCTGGCCAGTCCTCATCCTTGACCATGACTCTACTCCTTTTGACAGATGGCCATACTGCCCTGTCCTTCAAAAAGTCAGGGAAATGATCCACATAATACTGACAGCCCTGTTCGCAGAGATCCCTCAGTTCAACAACCCCAATTTCCTTGGGGAGAGCGGGGCCTATGTTGGCCCATGAGAAAAACTTTGCCGTCTTAACCTCCTCACCTCTATAGTCTATTGTCCGACATCTAAAAAAGGAAGTCCAATCGAATTCATCCACCGTATCTGTTAAATCACAAATACGCTGTACATCATGCAAAAAACTTTCCAAAATCTTCCCATGCACAACAGAGATGGCCTTTTCATTAAAAAGAGGCCCTCCCCAATATGAATTTAATGCCAAAGTAATAGCAACAATCCAATCAACCACAAAATCACCAACAGGATCGAAAAAACGAGAAATCACGTCCCTTGAAGTGGGGAGGGGAAAAATAGTTGAAGAACTTCCCTTCCCCATGGGCTGGCTGTGAAGCAAGACTTCAAGGAACCTGTCATTAACCAACCGTCCTAGTCTACTCAACGGCAACCCCAGCGGCGGCTCCTTTTTGCTCGGGCAAGACGCCTCGGAGTCTGGTTGAAAAACCATGTGGCACTGGCGCTGGTGGCCAAGCTTGAAAATTGCCGGCTATCCAGCTCCTCTGTGCCTAAAATCAGCACCGTCTTGTCAGACAGTGGCCCATGGTATCGTGGGTAGAAACCACGCATCTTGATTCCTACCTTCTCTGGCCAAACAGGGCTCTCAACCCCCGGCTCATAGCTCAGCACGCTTGTCGGCCTCAAGCGGTCTTCCTGTTCTCCTCTTGCTTCTTCCCTTCGCTCTTCGCCTTCCCTTTCCCTTTGGGCTCTTTGCCCTTGTACGTCGGCCTGTCCTCCTTCCCAGCTCCTTTCCCTTTGCTCAGGGATCCCATCCCCGTGTGTGACGCTCCTCCATAGGCCTTCGCCTCTTGGTTTCGCTCCTTCTGGATTATAGCCAGCTCCTGTCGCGAAGGGAGGATTCCCTGCTCCGAGGGGATAACCTCCAACCGTTGACTGATCTGGTAGCTGGTGCCACCAGCCTGCAGTTCCAAACCTTTGATCCTCTGCAAGCTGATATCCAAGGCTTGGGCAACCTTGCCCTCCAGCAAGGAGTCGATGATACTGCAGTGCGTGAGCAACTCCCTGCCCATCGCACCCGAGATGCGCCTCGAAAGGACTTGGCGGTAGTACCGCACCAGGAGGGGGTGCCAGGCCTTCGAAGTGTGGGGCCCATCCCCCATATCCATGGAGACCATCCTCCCAATTCCCCGGAGGGATTCCGAGGCCATCAACCCCGGGAACCTCTCTGCCAGCCCCCGGATCTTCAACTCGTCTCCAAACAGGGGCATGTTCTCGGTTTTCAGGGTGTCCTCGTTCGAGCCTTCCGAAGAGTTTGACCCCGTCGAGCTGCTCTTCTTCCGCTTGATAAAGCGCTGAGCCCGGCGGTAGACCCGCTTCCTCACTCTCGAGGACAGGTCCAGTGCGGTTCCTCTGAACATCCTCTTCTGACTGACTTGACCCTCGCCGGTAGCGCTGGACGAAGAGTCGCTTGTCCTCTCCAAGGGCTTTCCCCTCGACCTCTTTCTGTCGCCTCCGCGGGATCCTCCCACGCTGGCAGGGCTGGACCCCCGTTTTGCCTTCTTCTTTTTTCTCTTTCTTCTTTCCTCGCTCTGCGATCTGGTCCGGCTCCTCTTCTTTGAGCGCTTCTTCGGGTCTTTTTTCTCTCTTGATTTCTCTCGACCTCGATCTTTGGCTTTCTTGTCTTTCCTGTCTGGACTTCTCCTCTCCTCCTTCTTCTTGTCTTGAAGCTCTTTTAATTTCTTCCTCAGGCCTGCGTTTTCGTCCTCCAAGTCTCCTCGTGGAACAACTGGCTGAAGATTCGTGGCCCACCCCACGTGATCGAGGTCTCCTGGGTTCACTGCTCGACATCGAGTAACGTGCACGAGGCCGTCGTCCTCCAGATCCCGAGTGCAACCGGCTGGACATAGATGCCACCTGCACGTTCCTTCCTTCTGTGTGCCCCATTGCAGGAGGGCGTCTATGTTCGTCCCGGTCAATGCCATGCTCAGCATCGTGCGGCCGTCCTCCACTGTCACTTCTTTGATCCGACCTGCAACCGCCCCCGCCTGCCCATAGTAATGGGCGTCCTCGCTCAGAAGATAGGCCCCTACTTCCAAGCGACTGGGGTGTGGATCCTCGCCCACTGCAGCTGCGGGCCTCCTCATCCCTCCAGGGGCTGTCCCCCGCGCGTTTCTTCCGATAATCCGGGCTGCCGCTTTTGCTTTTACCACTGCGGCAGGTCTTCTTCGAATTTTCGGCGGCATCGCTACCACCTAGGGGCGTAGTACGTGGTTCCCCGACCACGACCTCTGTTGTACCCGTACTTGTCGCGAAACTCCTGCCCTCGTATGTAGTGGTTGTATCCTTTATCCTTCTTTGGCTTGTCGGTCTTTCTGGCCAAAGGTTCTCTTTCGTCCTCCTCTGGTCCAGGCTCACGTCTGAAACCAGGAGGGGATCGCGAAGGTGATTTGGGTACCTTATCCTCCCTCCTCTCTGCTCTAGGGGAGTCGCCGTGGTGACTTTTCAAGGGACTCTTTTTGGGTTCCCTCGATGCACTCTCCTCTGTCTCGTCACCAAAGTCTGCCTCCTCTTCCTTTGTCTCTTCTTCCTTTACTACTCGTGGTGGCTCTTCCTCCACGTCTTCCTTTTTCTTCCTTCTTGCTCTGTCTCTGTCTCGGTCCCGACTGGGCTTCTTTGACCTGCGCTTCTTCTTCTTGTCCTTCTTCACCTCTTTGCTCCTTGACCGCTGCGGTGACTCCGCCTTGGGGCGGGAAGCTGATGCCTGTGCTGCTTCCTCCCTCCTTTCCTCTCGCCTGACAGGGGATTCCCCCGAGGTCCTCCTCTGAGGTGCGCTGGCCCGCCTCGAGACCGGTGTGAGGCCTGGAAGGCTAGACCTGCCGGTCTCTTGGGTGGAGCCTTCCCCGACTCCCAGGGATATTCCCCCGAACAATGGTCCTTGCAGGGCTAAGTTGGCTTCCCACTCCTCCACAAAGCCTTCGATCTTAGCCACAGTCCTCAAAAGAAGCCTGTGGAGGGTATCCGACTCCTCCGCCGGATGCCTGGTCAGGACCAACCTGTTCAGCCTCTGAAGAGCCACGCACACCTCGCAACAGCCGCTAGAAGTTACAGGGAGGCCAAAGCGTCCCCGGCAGCTAGTGCACATAGGCTAAGCTTGAACCAAAGCCTGAGGAACACAGACAAGACTATTTACTCTTTACCCCCGGGGCCGGGTTAGCATATATATTGCATACAAGTATAAATATGTGAATGCGTAAGTATACACAAGGTCAACTATACCAAGTTTTTTTTGCCTCCTATTTTGAATGCAGAAATGTTTTCATAATTGTTGGGGGTTTAAAACGTACGGAGGGAAAGAATTCCAAGACGAGGGGAACTGAATGAAGAACCCATATGATAAAATCTGATGAACAGGTACCGAAGTAAAAATCTCACATGGGGAAATAATGATAAATATAAATGTGCAAAGCTTAGGGGATAATCTGCACAGATATATGACTAGACCGTAAAAATAAACACTATATGCAACGATATATTTGAAACAAACAAGATTCCAGAAATCTTACTGGAACAAGACAATCGGGATAGAAACGTATCTCGCTAGCATTAGTACAACGGAAACAAGGAAAATAATTTATGTATAAAAAACATACAAATTAGAACAAAACCCCCAAATCAAATTCCAACAGCCCTCATTAAATGCAATTCCTTATTGAACGTTTCAAGATTTCAACGTGCTTGAAACAAACACACAAACCAGTCAAATACGTGGGCCACTTGATGCCCCATGCTTTCAATGCTTTGGCGATACAAAGACGCAAAATGTAAAAAAGATGCACCGACGTTGTCCCTGTGGCAAGTCCCATGTGTCCGTTGGTTGTTGGAGGAGGTCCCCTTGAGTCATCATCGAGCAAGCTACAAGAGCAGCATCCAATCTATGAACTGAAACAGGCGGTATGTGGACCAACAAACAACTTGTGTCCCGAGAGAGAGCAAGGCACACGTCAAGGTCCAAGGTCTGGAAGTAAGCAGCCACCTTCCTGATGCAGCCAACAGGATCGGCCCAGAGTCGAATCTGGGAAAAGTTCCAAGAATTCCAAAACAAGACTGACCATCCCAATATCATGGGAGAAACATGTTAAAAACAAAAACATGTAGATCAGGTTAGCGTGGTTGAGGTTTGATTCGTGGTTTTTGTTAAACCACCTGGTTGGCGACACAGAAGCCAACCACCCGGCAGTGGCCAAATTCATACTATATTGTAACTGACAGTACTACTTGAGTTACCTTCCTCGGTGCAACTGCAGATTTGTCCGATTTGTCCCCGTTCCCATCCTAGCCCGTGAAAGAAATACAACCACAAAAAATACCCTGGCTTAGACATTAGCATTGGATCTCAATCACGGCAAGTCCAAAGTACCAGTCAAACGATCAAACTTTACTTTTTGCTGTTAAATTAGCGGAACTTGTTGTTTTTACGCTTGAGCAGCATCATCGCGATGCTGACCTTGCCATATGTCCTGCCGGAAGCCCATACAACATTGCAAAATTGTGACGCATGTGATATGCACGAGGTTTTCAAAAAAGAAAGCAAAACAATCTGAGGTGAATGACCACCTCAAAAAACCACCTGCATGCAGTCTCTACCCCACAGGTTCATGTGAATTTAAATGATATCCTCTCAATTCCAGCTTCTGGAAATAGGTTTTTGGAGTTCCACGCTCCGGTCACGGGTTTTTGAAGTCGTGCGTTTTTCTTTTTAGTTGATTGGGGGTAGATTTATGCAGGAATCGCGCGAAATTCACGCTATCATGCTTTGCGAAGTTGCTTCCCTCAAGTTGCACAATTGTCAATCGTGGCGTTGGAAATACATGTGCCAGAATATCTGCAACGGTTACGGTTTTACAATGAAGCTCTATTTCCGCTGGAATGTTCCACTTGGAGTCATCAAAAACTATTCCTAAACTAGACGACGGATGGCCCGAGAGCGTAGAGGAGCAGGGTCTTCTGTTGTCAGTATTGAGACACTAATTTACAAGACAATGTATTAAAGATGTATTCTAGGCAGACGGGAAGAGTAGTATATATCAAGACAAATCTTTACAATCAAGTGCAAGACAATAGTTTGCATCGTATCCTTCGTAGGGTTTTTCACACACAGAACCTTTTAAACACAGACGCTTTTGCACCCAGAAGCTTTTACACACAGAAGCTTTTACACACAGAGACTTTTTACACACAGAAGCTTTTACACACAGAAGCTTTTACATACAGACGCTTTTACACACAGACACTTTTACACACGGAAGCTTTTACTTACAGACACTTTTACACACAGACGCTTTTACACACAGAAGCTTTTACACACAGACGCTTTTACACACAGACGCCTTTACACACAGACGCTTTTACACGCAGACACTTTTACACGCAAACACTTTTACTTACAGTGTTACAGACGCTTTTATACACAGACACTTTTACACACAGACGCTTTTACACAGAGACGCTTTAACACACAGAAGCTTTTACACACAGACGCTTTTACACAGAGACGCTTTAACACACAGACGTTTTTACACACAAACGCTTTTACACACAGAAGCTTTTACACACAGAAGTGTTCACACACACACATACACGTTTACACACAGAAGCTTTTACACACAGACACCTTTACACACAGGGTTACCGTGGAGGTTGTAAATTCGCAATTTTACCTCAGTTTTTGGCGATCGAACCTCATTTCGTGCGAAAGGGTTGTCGCGGCACACTCAAAATCGCAATTTTAGCTCAGTTTTTGGCGATCGAACCTCATTTCGTGCGAAAAGGTTGCCGCCGAGGTTGTAAAATCGAAAGGGTTGCGTTTCGTGCCGTCTCGTTGGCACTGCCCCGCGCCTTCAAGAGAGAAATAGAAAAGAAGGAGAGAGCAAGAGGGCAAGAGAGCAAGAGGGCAAGAGAGAATGTAAAGATGTGAAGATGAGAATATGAGGAGATGAGGAGATGTGAAGATAAGATGAGAAGATGAGCAGATGTGAAGATGAGAAGATTTGAAGATGTGAGGATGTGAAGATGTGAGGATGTGAGGATGTGAGGATGTGAAGATGAGAAGATGTGAAGATGTGAGGATGTAAAGATGAGAAGACGTGGAGATGAACAGATGCGAAGATGAGATGATGTGAAAGTGTTTGACAGACCCCCACTATTAGAAGAACCCTTCGCTCAGACGCTCTCGGGAAAAACTTGCGGGAACCAAGCAAGAAGAGGGTCCAACCCCAAAGTGCGACAAGACGCCAGGAAAAAATGTTTTATTTAAGTAAATAGAGGTTAAAATCTTCCGCGCAAAACGGTCAAGTAAAACGATGTCATTAACTTGAACAGTTACATGCTTTGGGATGCAAATCAAGGCGCCTTATCGAGGCTGTGTGTTTTTGAAGGGTTTTCATGGACCTCAACTTCAAGAATTTTACAAAATGGTTTCTTTTAGATATTTCTGTGGAAGCAAGCATCCTCGAGACGTCAAATCTCCTGTAAAACTGTCAGGCCGGGCTGCCGAAGGAAGTGTATTTCAACAACCTTTTGCAGCATTTCGGAGCACTTTATTGAAATCGGGTCAGCGTGTCAAATCTTTCCTCTGCCACGTTTATTGCAAAAGGAACGAGCTATACGCAAAGAAGTTACACCAAGGACAAAGAAAGAGCAACCCGTTGGGAATATGATTCTTCAGAGCCAGGAATCTGACATGACTGAAGAGAGAAGAATCGCATCCTCTATATTTATTTTCGTTATTGTCGTCTTGTCCATGGCAGATCAAATCTCACCAATGCAATGGCGCATGCCAGAAGACCTCAGACCGAACTGGATACCTTACTTCTGTTATCCATTTATGTGCTTCTATTTATCGACATGTCTATCCCTGCCAGCTAACCAGCGTACGACAGAGGCGTGCGCTCCAAAGTAGCTAGGAGAAAATGCTGCACAAGAAGATCTTATGGCGTAGCATGAAAAGTTTTTATAACGTAGCAACAAGTAGGTGCGCAAGTGCAAGATAAATTTCCATGACGCAGCACAAGTAGTTTAGATATAACGTAGCATCAAGCAAGTGGGTGTTAGAGTGCAAGAAAAGTTTTAATCATGTAAAATCTGATAGAGTAAACATAGAGAACATAGCATCAAGTAGGTGTGCACGTGCGAGACAAGTTCTGTTAAAGTGACGCGGAAAATCTTTATAAACCATAGCATAGGTACACCGTGGCTGTTTTCAACTTGTGCTAGTTATGCACACTTGCAGACACTTGTGCTAGTTATGTTAACTTGTGCCTTGCTTACTTTTTAATTAAAAACTCATCTTAAACTCAAGTATTTACAAGTTGGTCACAATTTACTTAGACGTAAACACAAGCAAATATAATTAGAAATAAGTAGAGCCTGGTTAAAACCGTATGATTTTGCACCAAGTTAGGGGGAAATCCAAACTTAGATTTTGAGAAGTGAAATTTTAGTTTTCGAGATCTTTTTTGTGGGGCAGCATGGGCGTGCAGAATAAGTAGAAAAACTTGTTTTGGAGCTTGCCGCGCTCGACGCTCAAGAAGGACGTGAGTTTTTGGCTTTTGTCGATGCATTCGGAGTGGTCACACCGCTATACAGTTGCTAAGCCCAAGTTTATGTACAGAACAGTCCCCAGCACAAGGTCGCATATATATAGCACAGAGAGCACAGATATAGCACAGAGATAGCACAAAGCAAACACCAGCCCGAGCGCAAGATAGCATAGATAGCACAGATATATCACAGAGATACCACAAAGATAGCACAGACCACCGATGCGCAATACGCAAGCATGGGCAGAGATAGCATAAATAGCGCAAAGAAAAGAAAGAGCAGAACTCACGGAGGTTTAGAGCAAGAGACACGCAGCAAGAGGAGATATGATGAACAGATACGTGCGCTGCAGACAGCGAGAGCGGACACACCGCTGCTCACCTTCAACGGCTAGTTCTGCATGTAATGCTCCAACTTGCATTTCAAAAACCAAAAACTTAGCGGACACACTGCTCAACAATCCCCATATATCGAACACATTGACGCATAACCAGCGAAAAAAACTTTACTTTCCATCAAAAAGAGGCACTCAACCAAGAACAAAGCAAACAAAGCCAAACTTCATACCGATTGTTAAAAAACAAAGCTCAAATAAAACACATAGGTCTGTTAAGTAGAAATCAGAACAAGTAGAAGTAACTAAGAACAACTCTTAGACAACTCAAACACCAACAGCCTCCAGCCACTTAATTCCTACTTCACAAGTAGCTTAGGTAGATACAAGTTACTTCAATGCCTACTTAGCATCCGGTTACCTTAGTTAAACTCAAGCTAAACCATATTTACAATTTATTGCAAGTAGTATAAGTTGAAACCGGCCTTAAGGTAGGTGTGCAAGTGCAAAAGTGCAAGAGAAGTTCTTTGCAGGTGCTAAAGATGGCCTGACAACGTAGCATCAAGTATATAGGTGTGCAAGTGGCAAAGAAGATCTTATGCGGTAGCAGTAGTAACACGAAATTTCTATACCGCTGCATGAAGTGGGTGTTCAAGTTCCAATGCAAGTAGGTATGCACATGCAAGAACAGAAGGGAAGATCTCTTGCCGTAGCATCAGGTGTGCGGTCGTTTGACGTAGCATCAAGCGGGGCGCAAGTGCAAGAACGTTCTTTCCCCAACACCCACCCCAAACCAGGCCAAAAGAAAGATAGCATGACAACTTAAACAAATGACAACAAGGGGCAAAACTTCGTACACAGGCAGCCTTTACGGGGCGGCCGTCCATTGGCCAAGAAGCGGGTTCGACAAGATGCTCGAGAGCCGCTCCTCTGAAATCAGGCCGTTGCCAGTCTCGTCAATAGCCTGACAGCGGCGGGGGGGGGTTGCGCCTGGGCCAGTTTGCAGCTTGGGTAGTACATCATTGGGTCATGACTGAGCAATATTGATTGCAAGTGTTTGTTTGGTGGTGGCAATTTCGACTAAAAACAATTGCCAGCCGTGCTCTAACTTCCAGGATCATCTAAGAGATGCCTAGTCCGCACTGTGAAGGCACCAAGAGTGATGGCAGTTGTTGCCCTAAAGGTTTGGCACAAATTCTGGAAAGATGCGTAAACCTGTACCATATTTATACAAGTCGCTTGTCCCAAAGCTACTGCATGTGAGGTTATGTGGGATGCTGGTCTCGATCTCGATTTGGTGTTTTTACATGAGCACGGCCTAGTTACTGGCCTAGTTTCTCAGATGCTTGCTCTCCGTTGACCATGTACGTCCAGTCAGTCCGGTCCTCTTTCTTTTGAAATCAAGCTGTGCTCTTTGGGATGCAGCCTTCATTTTGTAAACATGTGAAAACACCCCAAGGTACATCTCAAGGGTTGAAACCTTATATCTTTCCCTTCTTGGAAGAGCCCTCGAAAAGGAACGTGGCCACACATGGCCAAGTGACTCGGAAAATTCCTTCGAGTTTATTCACGTACTGCTCTTTGAGTCCTGAGAACGACCGGGTCATGTGGCTGTGGGCTTGCGTGTCGGCTGTCCTGTCTGACATACGCCAAATTTGGCGGGTTGGGGGCCCACAGAGGTGTAGGTAATACAACTGTGCAGGCTCCAAATTGGATTAGCAAAATTGACGAGGAAAACAACTTTCATATTGTGATTCCCTTCGACGGCTACCAGACATGATGTCAAGCTGGAAATTCCGAACAGGAATGATGGTTGTCTCATCTCACCATGCCTCAAGGTTCACTTCCGAAAGGTTAGGGCCATTTTTGACGTCCATCGACACAACAATCCGCAATCTGGTCGCTTTCTAGTTCGGAGGAATACTCAAATTTTTGGCAAATTTCGAAAAAAAAACCTTGCAAGTCGGAATCCGATAATTCCCTCATGCTCATGCAGGTGTGCGGCGCTGGTGGTTTCACAGTTTCTTGACTGCTTTGGAGCGCCTTCTTATAGGGATTATTTTCAACCAACTCTGGAAAAGAACCATTGCTTGTTTGTTGAGCCACAGCCATAGGCCCCTCAATATCAAAGATGCCCATATCATATTATACTATGCATGTGAGGTTTGCCCTGGTTTGCTTCAGAGCTGAATGGGATTCTGATGGATTCTGCGGCCCTACTGGCAACCCTTGCTGCGCTGCCTTGGGCTTGAAAATTTTGCATTGAGAAACATATGCGAAAAAATGTTGACATGATACCAGTATATATCACCCCCTTTCACAACACATGGAAAGATTGGCATGTTGTAACTCAACCACTGTCTGGTAGCAGGGCCCCAGTCCCTGTGGTTGACTCGCCGTGCGTCGCAGGCGGTCGATGACCAGCTGTTCGGCGTCGTTTTGCGCTGCATCCAGTGTGTCCTGCGCTTGCTCTGTGTTCCCAAACTTCTTGGTTCCACCCATGAAACGCAAAACACAAATGTAATGTATATTATTGCAGATAAAAGAAAAACAATAATAATACTAATATAGAAAACAATCAAGAAATAATCATGAAAGTATGAAAATTAAAAAACAAAAATATGATAGAGGGAGTGCGCTTGGAAGGTGTGAGTGAAAAATAATGGATAGGTCGATGCAAAGATTGAAAGATGGTTAGCTTTCGGAAAGTAAATAGCAAATAGAAAAAGAGAGGGTGAGAGAGTGAGAAAGAGAAAAGCAGAAACAAAGAGAGAGAGAGAGAGAGCGAGAGCGAGAGAGAGATAGCGGCACAGTTGATGCATGAGGGGATGCAAACAATGGTTTGTTGATGTGCTGGTGCGGAAAATGCAAAGATAATTTCAATGGCGGCAGCGCCTTATAAAACAAAATTGACTTGCTGGGCCGGGTCCGAAGCCCATGTTATCTACTGAAATGAAATACGTCGGGGAACTTTAGGGCTATTTTCACATCTATGAAAAAGCACATCTATCTTGGAAAAAGAGAGAATGTCATGTGTACATTGTCTACACAACTATTTTAACAACTTGACTCAACCAGCCATGATATGTTGCACTTTGCTTTACCGGACCGGACCAATGATTATTAAATCCCAGTTCGCTGTTGTCGTTCTAACCTCATGTTTGTGGTGAGACTCACCCTAGTCGAAGGGTCAGCCAGCCCCACTTGTCATATGGCGGTCTCTAGATTTTGTGTCAGCTGCTCCTTCTCCCTCCTCTGATTGCAAGCTCGTGGAATGATGTTTCATCCCGGATCTTGTGAGATAGCAAGCGCGCGGAGTCTCAGACATCTGTATAATCCCGGAAATCCACAGCCATGACCGACAGCATGTCGGCCGTGGTGCCGACAAATGTCGGAATATATGCCAAGAACTTATTGAAGAATACGTTTGCACAAGTTTGTTATGGGATATAATGTGAAACTTGGCCTCGGCATGTATACATGTCAGAAGCCATCTCAGAATATATGTCAAGGTTTCTGCCACTAAAACAGTCAGAATATGTCATGTTAAAGTCAAAGGGAAACACATGATAGAATCTATGTCATTATTAAGGTTCAGAAAAAACAGTAACATCGGAATTGATGTCCGAATACATGTCAGTCAGAATGAACATGTTTCAGCATTTTGGGCTGAGTAATAATGTTTTCACACTGGGACTCACAGGAAATCCAATGTTTCGCATTCCCCACCTGCCCGGTGAGGGTTTCTAGATTTTAATGAAGGTGCAACTCCTCCTCCTCTTCCTCCTCCACCTCCTGCTCCGCCTCTTTTTCCTCTTCCTGGACCCGAACTCCAATTTAAATCGCCAGCCTGCGGAGTGCCCCTGGGCTTGAACTCATGCCAGAGAGAATGCCAGACAGAAGGCCAGATAGAATCTGAGATAGGATATCAGAGAGAATGCCAGACAGATTGTCAGAAAGAATGCGACGTAATGTCAGGCAGACTGCCGGAACGAATGCCTGAACAAATGCCAGATAGAGTGCCAAAAAGATGCCAGACAAAAATGTCAGAATAAATGCTAGATAGCATGCCAGAAAGAAAGCCAGAATTTGCCAGGAAGTATGTCAGAATAGATGCCGGAAAGCATGTCAGATAGAATGTCAGAGCATGTGACAGAAAGGCCAGAAAGAATGTCACACACACATATACACACATATATATATATATTGTTTATATATATATATATTTATATTTATATATATATATATTTATATAATATATATTTATATTTATATATATATATATTTATATATGAATATATTTTAAATATATGCCATACATACTTCCATGCGTATGTCAGAAAATGTCAGTATCCGTGCGGGGATCTTATTTCCTGCTGTTACCCCGAAAAAAAGGAGCTATGCAATCCTACTGATAAAACAAAAAAAATGTTGTGTTTTTACTATCCATGGCTTCGTTCCATTCCCAGCCAGGACTTTTTGATGAGATTTTGCATTGGCCATCCATCCTTTGGACGCTCAGCAAACCAAATCCCTTGGTCCTTCAAAAACACGGCGCCGATAACCCGTATAATCGCAAACACCACGATGCCTGACACATTTCTCAATATTTCTCACACTATAGACGTCTCGAAAGTTGAAACAACAAATCAAAACACACACACAAAAGAGATGGAATGAATGGATGAATGGCATGCTAAGAACTGTCACTAGCAAACACATAGATACCAACACCTATAAAGGTAGCGATCAGGAGCTGGTTTGCCGAGGCGCAGATATAGGGAATAAAGAACAGCACAAAGTACGGACTCACCTGCAACGGGGCGGTGACCTTGTCGAGGATCTGTGTAAAAAACTACATGGGTTTGTCTGAAAATAGGTACCCCGAAAACACAAGGTTTATCAGAATTGTCCAATGAAAATGTTTTTTGTGAACATTTTGGGAACTCAAGAAATTTCCAGACACACCCAAATTTTGTGAAAGAGTATGCAGTATATAGCAAAGGTAGAAAAAACAGTTTCCCCCTCTGACAATTCAAGTAAGATCGCTTGTAATTATATATTGCTTTTCAGGGTTAAGAACAGCTGCGCTTTCAAGTGATTGATGGTTGGTTGGGGGTTCTGGTTTGTCATGTTTACATGTATGGAAATCGTGCCTGCAAAATACAACCGTTGGAAGACCGGCGCGAATTCCCAAACCATCCGAAAGCATCAGGACAGTCCCGATAGTGTATGGTGCAACGCTCAAGGTCCAAGGGACCACAGAAAACTTGGTGCATGTCAAATGCGCAGAAACAAGCAACGGGGAAAACAAGCAGACAGCACCTCAGGCAAGTGACATGCAAAAGGAGGACGCAACACTAAGGACGAGAATCTTGGCAGGAGCAAAAGCACCAGCGCAGAGCAGAACAAGCAACTAAGCAATACACAAGCAGTGAGACGACTGAAGCAGGAAAAGCTCCCGGAAGCAACACTGGGGGTTGAAAGAGAGAGGACGGGGAAGAGAATGGAGGTTTCCCAACTTATTATGCTGCCTCCATGGACTCGCCGTGGGAAAGAGGGAGGTGCACCATGGTGCACCCAGCTATAGGCGGCGGGCGTGTGGATATGCCAAATTGCTCTCGACCACTGTCAAATTGTAGTGGCATGTTTTGGGTGTGCTACTTCGCCCGGTTGGGCTTCTGGATTCTTCGCCTTTTGGCAACTGGTCTATAGTCCTCAGTCCTCCAAGCAAAGTGGCATCACTTCATCTGACTAGGCTGCTTCAACTGTACTTTGAAAATACTGTGGATATCCATAACTGAATCCGAATACAGGAGCATGCCCGCTCATGACCCATGACTTTAAACCAATCGAAGATGGTGTCAACGGCATGACCAAGTGAAGCCCAATGCCCCAACACACACTGAAGATTGGGTGAGATGTGCAGACCTGGTGCGCGCCCTGACGATTCCTGGGCTATATAGTGAAGCCTTAACTTAACAGTCGCGTGTGGGAAAACAATGTTCACAAATGTTCCCATGTTAACTGAAAGTGAATCAACTGAAATGCAAGACTTGGTTACTACGACGGGATCACTCTGAAGCAAGCCCTGAAATAACAACTGATCACATTTTCTGCAGGTAAAGGAAACTGGCCTAGTTTCCCTTCCAACTCATGTCCGCGGCTTCGTTGCGTGTGGTCGGGACATGGGTGCCACACGACCCTGCTTCTAATGTCCCGTTCCTACATCAAAACTGCTGTTTGTTAAAGCAAGGCAGACAGAAAGGAAAAAATACGCGATCACAAGTTACATGTAAAAAAATAAGCTGATCCTGCGCATCTGGAACTGCGGCGTGATGGAAACCCTAGCATGTTTGCGAGCATCAAATCATGTCTTGTTGGGACGTTCCTCTGCTAAGATTTGGGGAGTTTCCTCGGCTGGCATGCCCCCTTTCAAAACCCTACCATTGCTGTTGGTTGTTTCCCTCCAGTGTGGTGGTTTCAACATAGGAAAATGATCACCCCAGCCTCACCAGCCTATGTATATAATCCCCTCTCCCTATTAATTACTAAACGTCCCCCAAATACTAAAAACAGGCGTCCATCTCCAATTTCTGAAAATTTCAGTTTGGCCAATTTGACTTTTAATTGATCCCCTTTAGAAAACAATTTAAAAATCAACCTACCATGTGTGGGTTTCCCCCCCTAATACTAAAAACTAGTCAACCCCGGGGTGTTTATTATTAGGGTCCGTCCGATTTTTTTTAGTTTTTTATATTAAGGTTTTTAATTTAGTATTAGGGGGAAGCTTCGAAATCCAATTTTTGGCGATATTTTAATTGCGTTATTTATATAAAGAAATTTCATTGAGATCGGAAAAAAAAGTTTTTATTATAAAGGGTTTAGTTTTTATTAATACGGTTCCCTAATAATAAATAACCCCCTAATACTAAAAACTACTTGCCGTGTTTATT